TTCAAGCAGAAGACGGCATACGAGATGCCTAAGTGACTGGAGTTCAGACGTGTGCTCTTCCGATCTCGTTTGAATGGTAGAAACGCCGCGAACGCAAGGATACGACGTTTCCGAGCTTCAAACGGCGAGTATCCCCTGTGTGCCTTGTCGACTCAGTCTCGGATCCGGCGGTTCCGCGCTTCGCACGTCGAGATTCGACGTTTGAATGGTGGAAACGCCGCGAACGCAAGGATACGACGTTTCCGAGCTTCAAACGGCGAGAATCGACGTTTGAGCGGTGGAACGTCGCGGCGCTCGGATCCGGCGGTTCCGCGCTTCGCACGTCGAGATTCGACGTTTGAATGGTGAAACGCCGCGAACGCAAGGATACGACGTTTCCGGCTTCAAACGGCGAGAATCGACGTTTGAGCGGTGGGAACGTCGCGGGCGCTCGGATCCGGCGGTTCCGCGCTTCGCACGTCGAGATTCGACGTTTGAATGGTGGAAACGCCGCGAACGCAAGGATACGACGTTTCCGAGCTTCAAACGGCGAGAATCGACGTTTGAGCGGTGGGAACGTCGCGGGCGCTCGGATCCGGCGGTTCCGCGCTTCGCACGTCGAGATTCGACGTTTGAATGGTGGAAACGCCGCGAACGCAAGGATACGACGTTTCCGAGCTTCAAACGGCGAGAATCGACGTTTGAGCGGTGGGAACGTCGCGGCGCTCGGATCCGGCGGTTCCGGCGCTTCGCACGTCGAGATTCGACGTTTGAATGGTAGAAACGCCGCGAACGCAAGGATACGACGTTTCCGAGCTTCAAACGGCGAGAATCGACGTTTGAGCGGTGGGAACGTCGCGGGCGCTCGGATCCGGCGGTTCCGCGCTTCGCACGTCGAGATTCGACGTTTGAATGGTGGAAACGCCGCGAACGCAAGGATACGACGTTTCCGAGCTTCAAACGGCGAGAATCGACGTTTGAGCGGTGGGAACGTCGCGGGCGCTCGGATCCGGCGGTTCCGCGCTTCGCACGTCGAGATTCGACGTTTGAATGGTGGAAACGCCGCGAACGCAAGGATACGACGTTTCCGAGCTTCAAACGGCGAGAATCGACGTTTGAGCGGTGGGAACGTCGCGGGCGCTCGGATCCGGCGGTTCCGCGCTTCGCACGTCGAGATTCGACGTTTGAATGGTGGAAACGCCGCGAACGCAAGGATACGACGTTTCCGAGCTTCAAACGGCGAGAATCGACGTTTGAGCGGTGGGAACGTCGCGGGCGCTCGGATCCGGCGGTTCCGCGCTTCGCACGTCGAGATTCGACGTTTGAATGGTGGAAACGCCGCGAACGCAAGGATACGACGTTTCCGAGCTTCAAACGGCGAGAATCGACGTTTGAGCGGTGGGAACGTCGCGGCGCTCGGATCCGGCGGTTCCGCGCTTCGCCGTCGAGATTCGACGTTTGAATGGTGAAACGCCGCGAACGCAAGGATACGACGTTTCCGAGCTTCAAACGGCGAGAATCGACGTTTGAGCGGTGGGAACGTCGCGGGCGCTCGGATCCGGCGGTTCCGCGCTTCGCACGTCGAGATTCGACGTTTGAATGGTGGAAACGCCGCGAACGCAAGGATACGACGTTTCCGAGCTTCAAACGGCGAGAATCGACGTTTGAGCGGTGGGAACGTCGCGGGCGCTCGGATCCGGCGGTTCGGCGCTTCGCACGTCGAGATTCGACGTTTGAATGGTAGAAACGCCGCGAACGCAAGGATACGACGTTTCCGAGCTCGTATAACTTCGTATAGCATACGACGTTTGAGCGGTGGGAAACGTCGCGGGTGCTCGGATCCGGCGGTTCCGCGCTTCGCACGTCGAGATTCGACGTTTGAATGGTGGAAACGCCGCGAACGCAAGGATACGACGTTTCCGAGCTTCAAACGGACGGTATAGACATACTATTATACGAAGGTTATACTATCCCCTGTGTGCCTTGTCGACTCAGTGCTCGGATCCGGCGGTTCCGCGCTTCGCACGTCGAGATTCGACGTTTGAATGGTGGAAACGCCGCGAACGCAAGGATACGACGTTTCCGCTTCAAACGGCGAAATCGACGTTTGGGAACGTCGCGGGCGCTCGGATCCGGCGGTTCCGCGCTTCGCACGTCGAGATTCGACGTTTGAATGGTGAAACGCCGCGAACGCAAGGATACGACGTTTCCGAGCTTCAAACGGCGAGAATCGGTTTGAGCGGTGGGAACGTCGCGGGCGCTCGGATCCGGCGGTTCCGCGCTTCGCACGTCGAGATTCGACGTTTGAATGGTGGAAACGCCGCGAACGCAAGGATACGACGTTTCCGAGCTTCAAACGGCGAGAATCGACGTTTGAGCGGTGTTGCGGAATGCGCCTCAAAAATCTGCAGTAGCGAAAGTGTTATACTGTATCAAATTTTCGATCGTGACTTTGCGCAGAGCGAGACACCATGTGCTCATCAGGCGACGCCGTCCACCGTTTGCAAAAACATGTTTGCGCGACCAAATTTGTGAATCATCCTCATCGATGAGGAAGCGACAAGTTTCGCAGTTTTAAAACGGTCGAGCAGTCGGTTTTTCGCTCTCAGCTTGTCAAGGTGTTCCACGCTTTCAAACGAATCCTGTAGATTGTAATACAAAAGGCA